TGGCAGTGCGATTGTATTTAATTAATTGAAGTTATAGCTATTTATAAGGCTATATATATATAGCTATGTTTACACTATATACCGGATTGCTTTCCGTAACGGAGCATAAACACTTATCCCATACAGAGTGTATAACTTTCAGAAGCTCAGCGAAACAACATCTCTCCGTTGGGCGTTGGCGTTGCAATAATTCATTGCGTTCCTAAAAGGTACGACGGATATGTGTTTTTTCACGTCGCTATGGAAAACTATCCGGACATTGGGTACCGCGTACACGTAAATAAGGGGAAAAATTACAGTCAATCAATGAACAAGGGGATTATAGTCTCGTGCGTCATTGATTGTTGAAGCAGACTTATAGCTGGATTTAATCCTGTTTTCCTCTCAAGTGCAGTCACTTTCGTTCAGTTTCAAAGCATAGTTCCGATCCATCAAACGGATTATTATTTTACAAAATATCAAGGACTCTTGTGAAGATTTAAAAACATCTAAACATGGGAACAATCATGTTTTTGACATACTTTCCAGAAATTCACCTTCAGTACATGAGAATAACTTCACTGTATATAACTTAGAATAGGATCACAGCCTCGTGTTCAAGCTATTGTTTCACGTGCACTCAATTAAATTCGAGAAGTGTGCATTACGTCCCAATTGTGCTAATTTTTTCCCTATCCTATTGTAGAAAATCCCATGCAGTTTTTTGGCAAGAACTTCTATTCATTGACGTTATACATTCAGCAACTGACGTCATCATTACGGAGGTAAGCGAAATGTTGAAGATATATTATTATTACATCTTATTATATTGGATTAAAACGATATAAATAGTTTATATGATGCAGCAGAAATGGTGAAGTTCAAAATATGCCATGTAAGCTATTTGTGAATGGCCTTGAACGGTAGAAATTGCCTTCCCATTAATATTTTAGGATTTCCCATTTCTATATTTTGAGATGTCTGCGCGGACTGCGCCAGTGTATAGGTAGTACCAATGATAACAAAAGTTCGGATAATAGGGATGCGACTGCCTGAAAAATACAAGAAAAACGTCCACATAACCCCTATAAAGTTACCACTGTGCAAGCTTTCTGGATACTTGAGAAAAAAATATTGTAGTTGTAAAAAAAGTAAAACTAGCACTGATGAAAACTGACTCGCACATGACTCTCCCGTGCAGGGCATCTCCGTGTGAATTGTGTCTGAACTACCTGAAAAACATTATTCATTAAACCTTCAAAAACCATGCACAGTTTCAAAATACCATAACTTCAATGTTGTGATAAAACTTTCGAATTTTGCATTTGTTGTTCACATTACCCAGCCTTGTTAATCCAATTCAAGACTTATTAACTCTGCACTTTTTTAAGTATAATTGCTTTTAAAAAATCATTCCACATAGTTTCAGTTTGTCACGCGACTTTTATCTAAATATTGTTTTCCGACTATAAATTTTGAAGTGGTGCATGTCAATTGGTAGATATGCACGTTTCATTATCCGCGTGTTTTAAATAGTTACAGGTAACTGGAACGTGAATGTTGGCATTTTATGCTAATGACTGTGTCATAGCTTGCCAAATGTTGCGTCCCACTGCGTTAAGTCTGGTTTGCATTATCAAAGTTTCTGTGATCACAATGTAGGAAAGTTTTGGAGGACTTGTATCATGAAATGCTTGAGAGAACTGGCTCAGTCTCAGTGTTAACACTCACTCAGTTCCCTGAAACATTTCTTACTAATCTTTCAAAACTTTCCTGTGGTCACAGAAACTTTGATAGTGTAAATCAGGCTTTGTAAAGCAAAGTGCATACAGAGAGTGACGGTTGCGAAAATCAAATTGAAGTTCTGGAGCGGGTTCCAGTGTAGCTATTATTATTAACTTTTTTTTTGCCCACAAAATATATACAAGTAGTAAAAAAATAATTACAGTAGTATAATGGGCTAGGGACCTTTGGAAATCCTATTGGACTTTTATAGTAAGGCCCCTAGTTTTAGTATTCTAGTGATAAAAGACTATGAAAGAAGAAATTATATACAAGCAGAAACTATTTACAACAAATTGAAAGATGAAAAAAAAACTAAGAAATAAAATAGTACATTACTATCATTAGTGTTCCTAAGGCTATTGCTAAGGTTTTTATAATTTATTTACATTAATTAGATAATAAGTAAAGGGATTTTGCTTTTCTCTTAAAAGAAAATTAAGTTTTAGTATTTTTAATTTCGTCATCAAGAAAATTCCATAAAGAAATTCCTTTGTTAAATACAGTGTATATACGGTAGTTTGTTCTTTTATAACTCACATGTAACTTGGTAGAATTTCGCGTATTATAGTTGTGTACATCGTTATTTTGTTTGAAGTAATCATTATAAAAGTCCGGCAAATTTTGACAATAGTAGCGACGATACATGAATAAACTACATAAATAATCATTGATTTGGTAGATGTTCAAGATTTTCAAATCCAAAAATAGTGGTTTTGAATGTTCCATATAGGATTTAAAACTAATTAGTCGAACAATTTTCTTTTGCACATTCAGTAACTTTTGAAGCCTGGTTGGGTACGTATTTCCCCAAACTAGATTTCCGTACGTGAGGTATGGATAGACTAAAGCATAATATACCAATTTCAAACTGTTTTTGTTAGTAAAATGTCTTAATTTTGCAATCAAACCCGCGGATTTTATTACATTTTTCTGAACTGAGCTAATGTGGTTCTTCCATGAAAATTCGTGGTCAATTAATACGCCCAAAAACTTTACATAAGATGCTTGTTTAATAATATTGTTATTTATTTTGAGAGTAATTTCTTGATTCAATGGTTTATTTCTTGATTTAAAAATGATAAATTTTGTTTTGGATGGGTTGATTGATAATTTATTGGCATTTAGCCATGCCACTATTTTATTCATTTCCTTTTGTATAATGTCAGCTAATGTTTTTAAACATGAATTTGAACAAAGAGCATTTGTATCATCAGCATATAAAACAAAAGAAAGGATGTTACTACAATTTTCAATATCATTTATGTATATTAGAAATAAGAGTGGTCCAAGTATTGAACCCTGTGGGACTCCAGTCGTAACATTCATTTCATTTGACCTATGTTGCTTATATTTGACAATTTGGCTTCTTTCCTGTAAATAATTTGTAAACCACTGTAGACATATTCCTCTAATTCCGTAGTGTTCAAGTTTTTTTATTAGAATTTCGTGATTCACTGTGTCAAAGGCTTTAGAAAGATCAAGGAAAATACCTATTGTATATAGACCTTCGTCCATTGCCTTCGAAATCTTATCGGTTAGCTCAAGAATGGCATGTTCAGTTGATTTATTCCTTCTAAAACCAAATTGATGTTCTGAAAGTATTTGATGTTTCTCAACATAGTTATATAGTCGTTTGTGCATAAGTTTTTCAAGTAATTTAGAAAAGCAAGTTAAAACCGATATAGGTCTATAATTTAAAAAAAAATTATTTTCATTAGCTTTATAAATAGGACTAACTATAGCTAGTTTCAAAAAGTTTGGTATTTTTCCAGTTTGAAACGATAAATTATAAATATATGTTAGAGGCTTGATTATATTTTCACTAATCTTTTTTATCATTTCCGCACTTACTTCATCATGTCCTGCACTTTTATTTTCATTTAAGTTATTAATTTCAATTTGCAATTCATATTCTGTCACAGGTTCAATAAACATACTTTCAACATAATTACCATTAAGGTAGCTTTCGTATGTTATGTTATCATTTCCTGGAATTTTTTTTGCTAGTTGAGGGCCTATATTTACGAAATATTCGTTAAATTTGTTAGCAATTTCCTGAGGATTCGTAACATTGTTATTTGAACTCTTTTGTAAAAAAGTATCAGGTAGATTTTTTCTTGTTTTATTTCTGTTAAGAACTTCATTGATAGTTTGCCATGTTTTTTTTGTATCATTTTTGTACTTAACAAATTGTTTTTCATAATAGGCCTTTTTTGCGGTTTTTATTACGTGATTCAGTTTGTTTTTGTATTTTTTATAGTCTGTCTCATTTTTGTGAGTTGGATTTTTAAGAAATTTTTTATAAAGTTTATTTTTCTTTGATATGGACTTAAATATACCATTTGTCATCCAGGGACTTTTTGTGTGGTTTACAAATTTGTCTTTTATTTTTACTAAGGGAAAACTTTTATCAATTGCTATCTTCAAATTATCATGAAAGTTCGTATAGGATTCACATGGGTCATTGGATTTGAAAGTACTTTCCCATGATATATTTTTCACAGATGCTAGAAACAAGTCAAGATTATTTTCGTTTATTATTCGTTTGAAATGTGAATTTCCCGTTTTGGGGTCATTATTGTTTGAGGATAAACAAGCTAGCTATATGAAATATTGGCAGATGATCTGAAATATCTGAGAAGATTAATCCGTTCACGCTTGAATCTATATGTTCAAGATCGTTTGTAAAGATGTTATCAATTAAAGTAGCTGTATGCTGGGTAATTCTAGTTGGTCTATTTATAAGTGGAAAAAACGATGAGGTAAAAAGTTGCTCACAAAATCTACTAGAATATTCACAATCATCAGATTTCAAAAGATCAATGTTAAAATTCCCTGTCAAATATGTTATTTTCCTTGTTTTGTCAACTTCCGTTAGTATTGTATTTAGTTTATTTTCAAACATTTCAAAATTACCACTTGGCGGTCTATAGATAGTACCAACGATAATATTTTTACCAGTTGTTAAAATAATTTCAATGAAAAGCGTTTCAATTATTCCATCCTCGTTTATATTCAGGTCAGTTCGTAGTTTGTAGTTTAAACTTTTTGAAATAAAAAATCCTACTCCCCCGCCTTTTCTATTTTCCCTGTTAGAACAAATAAAATCGAAATTACTAAGATTGAAATTTTCACTATTTTTGTCATTAAGCCAAGTTTCGGCTTACGGTTGCTATCACGCTTCCTTCCGACTCGGTATAAAATATAATAATAAAAAAATAAAATAGACCTAAACTTAAAATAAATATAATAGACCTGAACTTCATATTGATATAAACATGGTCTGTCAGGACATGACCGATGGTCTGGAAACGAAATAGAAGTCATTGTGTTATGTTTTTATCTGAGTTTATGTTATAGTTTGTGCACGGTCGCGGTGATTCAGCTCATTGTATTTTACTATTTTTGTATAAATGAAGTGATAATCATCATTATAGGATCAGCCGAGGTGAAAAGTGCAACCACGATGAATAATATTTATAATGATGTTGAGACAAAGGATTTATGCACGGTGAGGTACAGTTCAACATCAAACAAAGGTCTTCTATTTTGTGTCTTTGATGCTTGCCGGTTCCAGACCATAATTTATGTCTTAACGGACTATGATCATAGCCAATAAAGAATTATCATTATACTCATTATTTCCTTGGGTAGGCTAATCCTAATTAGTATAAACCTACTAGTAGGCTATCATGTATCGTGTGTTCTGATTGGCTACGCTACTAGTAGGCTATTAGTGATAGCCTACTAGTAGCAACAAGCGGCGAAAGGCGCGAGAGTCAATGGCCGTTTTTAAGTATTAAAAGCTGCATTTAAAGGGAAAAAGCTTATCAAAATGGCCTAATTTTTGTTCTGGATTACACACAAATAAAGACTCTTGGAAACTGCTGACACATGCGGTGAAATTTTTAAGTTTTCTCAACTTTGCTCGTAGTTTTGAAATTTGAACATGAAAGTGACAGGCAATTTTTTAAAATATATGCACAATGTTTGTTAATATTCCAAGCAGAACCGTTCAAATTTAACAATACTTTGTAACTATTTACCCCTATTTTCTCAAACTCTTTAGTGTGTGCTTGTCTTAAGTACGAGTTCGTGTATTTAGCTGTCATTTTAAAGAATTTTTTTGGTTTAAATGTTGAGATTTTGGCCGAGTTTGTTTTTCGCCTTTTCGAGCCTTTTTAAGTCGAGCTTTTCGATTAAATTTTAATCTAAACTATTGTCTGTGTATACTTTAAAACTCACAAGTTGTATTTTTCAAGTCATTCTTGGGAGTTCGCAACACTGAGTAGTTGTCAACAAAGCCGAGGCGAAATGTCGCCAAAGGAAGCCATTTAAACGCTCATATGCATTTCGTTAGAACGTTATTATTTTACATAAAAATCAAGTGAAAAACTCCGTTTTTTTATGTGGTTTATACTAAAACAATTAGACAACTCAGCCTCGTTGTCTCTGAACGAATAGTCAACTCGGCTTCGCCTCGTTCACTATTCGCTCATAGACAACTCGCTTCGTTGTGTAATTGTAAATTAGTTGTGATTTGTTATTAAGACAACTTAGTAAATGAAGTGTAACCTATACATATTATACTATATGTATGCTTTAGCGTGAATTTGTATATATAAAGTGACGTACATATTTTTTATTGTAATATAGTTAATCACATATATTATTATTATTATCCCCGAGCCGGCGGCGCGAAGCGCCGTGCGAGGGTACTAATTCCCCCCGGCTATTTACACCCAGGGAAACGAAAGCATTAGCCAAGTCTAAAGTTCATCAAATATCGCGGGCGTGGGTCACTGTGCGTGGGCATAGATATAGGAGACCTAGATTGCTGACTCTAATGTTTTCTATAATGCACGCGCGTGACACTCATGAGCATTTAAAATGGCGGCTCAACCGGGCAAAAATCATAGAGCGAGATAGGGAAAAACCATGTTTTTTGCATTTTGCGTCGTCCTACAGCTTCCGATCCCGTTATATCACTTTATTTTGGAAAGAACTAACTGGTGTGAAGGTTTTGGATGAATATTTGTGCAATTTAAGTTTAATAAAGACGAAATAATCGATCGCTAAATGTTTTCTGAAATCGTCACAATTATGGTCGGTTGAGCAGTTCGAGACATTTTGTTGCAGAAAATAAAGGTTTTGGTTGTTTGGGTGCTTTTTTCTCGAGGATCTCGGTTGGGATATTTAACAAGGAATAATTCTGTGAAGTATTTTGAAGTTAAAGCCTATTTTACTTGATTTATTTGGTCTGCTGGTGCGAAAATTCTGATGCTCTGTTTAGTGTGACTTTGACAACCTCCTTGCTGCTGCAGATGTCAAGGGATCTCAAGTCTATAGGGCCTGGACAGTGAAAAGTGATGAATCAATCAGGTTTGTAGAGAGAACTAGTGACAATGAAAGTTTTCAATGGAAACTAGTTTGAAGAAACTGCCTAATGTGTCTGGTATGCATCAAAAACCTTCACAGTTAGTATCTAGTTCTCTCCAAGAAACCTGATTGATTCATCATTGATAATCAAAAATAGATGGGACGGCATCTTCGTTTAGATATTTCTTGGATTGGCATTTTATTGATTGCTCTCTGCAGTCGGCATTCTTCCCTTTGGACACTCTCCCCTTGAGACAGCTGACCCAAGCATCAGCACTCTCCCCTTACGAGTAGAATTGTCTGGCGTAGCCAGAGTAAAATAATTAAGTAGGGCACAAAACGACTCAATGGGTTAACTATATACATTTGCAGGTAG